ATGACCCCAATGATTGGATGCTGACTAGGTAGTGAGGGTAGTGTAACCTCTGATAAATCAATCACATCAGAATCTTCCTTTTTCCCCTCAAGTGGTCGTCAGTCCGGTCTTCTTCACCGAGTGGTGACTCCTCCCTTCGCTTCCTACAAGTCCTACAAGTCCTACGTCTTCCAAGATCCGTAATCTGTATCAGGTTATGAGCCCAAGTACCATGTCCTCTGCGCACGACGTTTCGACCACTGTCTTCATCGATAAGTTCAACAGCGACTACTACGCGACGTGGAACCGCTAAATGCGTGGTGTGATCCTCACCAAGCTGGCGTGGCATTGTCCTGAGCCAGGAAACGACTTCATGCGTCACGGACTCTCGCGCTAGGGACGAGTATGTCAAATCGAGCAACATTCGGTCTGGTGCTGTTCCACATGGACGCAGACTACCAGCATGTGGTCGACAACTGCAACGAAGCGTGGGCCTCATGGACGCACTAGAAGATGCTGTACGGTGGATCGCAGGCTGGTCGAATCTTCTTGAAGCGACAGCCCTTCAGCATACAGCTGTATGAAGGCGCGAATGTGTTGCATCACTGCAACAAGGTCCTCAACATCAGCCCCAAGCGCAGCAGCATCGACGCCAAGATGGAGGATGAAGACTTGGCGATCTGTTTGTTGCGTGGTCTCCCCAATGATTACGATAACGTCATGCTAATTTTGAAGATGAGCAACGCAGAGCTGAAGATGCAAGACGCTGCGAAGGTATTCACGAACGAGAATATCAAGCAGGAAGGCGAGAAGACTCCGGCGAGAAAACTGAAGACACGGTGAAGGCGTTTAGTACCGAGAGAGAGTCTCGCAAGTGTACTTTTTCGGAAATTGTGGTACATGATCGAGTAGTGCTGAATCAAGCAGAAGGATGAGAATCGGGGAGGCCGACGCGGCGGCAATGGTCGTGGACGCGAGGCCAACAATGTCCAATGGCGAAACGACGACTACGACTACAGCTCCGATCACGTGGCGTTTGCGGTTTCGCTGGAAAGCCGGATTTCGACGGGCAAAGATGTGTCTCGGGTATGTGGGCAGTCGACCTCGGTGTGACGACCCACATCTGCGACAACAAGGCCAAGTTCGACACACTGAACGAACGAGATGAAGGCGAAATGAAGGTGGCCGACGGCACTAAGGTTGTCATCAAGGGTATTGGAACCACCATTGAGCGAGAGGTTCTGACCAACGGCGACAAGCGCGAGATCAAGATCAACAACGCGCTTTACGT